AGAGAGAGAGAGAGAGAGAGAGAGAGAGAGAGAGAGAGAGAGAGAAAGAAAGAAAGAAAGAAAGAAAGAAAGAAAGAAAGAAAGAAAGAAAGAAAGAAAGATAGATAGATAGATAGATAGATAGATAGATTCAGGCTACCCAACTGCTAAAGTTAATCCATTTGTTTAAAAACTACCCACTTAAGCAACCCTGGCTCTCTTCCCTTAGTGGCCGTTTTCTCTTCCTGTGTCTTTCCCTCTTTTCCCAGCACAGCCCCCGCTGTCACAGAAGCCCACAGGCCGTCCTTGAATTACAACGATGTCTTAGCGACCCTTCAGAGTCGCCACAGCCCCCTTAGCAGCCCCCGGGCCCGCCCCCCCGCCCCCCCCCGTCCCCCCGTATCTAGTTGCAACGGCTGGAGCATCCCAGGGCTGCCTGAGCGCATCAGGCACCTGGCGCAGCCCATTCTGCTCCCAATGAAGCCGAAGACTATCGATGTAGCGTAGGAGGGTAATTGAGGCCTCAGCTAGCAAGCGTTGGGTTTGATGAACTATTTTGTCCCTGCCTTTTATTTATCTAAAAAATGAATTATAAAAGAAATCCACCTTGACGAAGAACGACAAAGCCTTTCAACAGCTCTTAGCAGCAGATCGATAACAAGGAATAAAAAACCGCTCTTGGGAAGAGGGGTAGGGAGGTTATAGGAAGCAGGGAGAGAAGTAAGTCTAAACAAACCAGGAATGACAAAAAAGAACCCCGGTAAGAGGTTAAAGCATATCGCAGGCTGGCTTGGAGCCAACAATCTTGGTTTGGTCACCATAAAAGCACAGGTCAGGGGCCTTCAAATTCGACAGCTTTAAGACGTGTGGACTTGTTCCTCAGGTCATGTGAGCTCAGGAATTCTGGGAGTTGAAGTCCACACGTCTTAAACTTGCCAAGTTGGAAGGCCCTTGGCACAAGGGATGGATTCACACGTTCATCTTTCGGCCCCTTTGGAGAACCAAACCTGATTTACATTAACCATCATTCTGCTATTATGTCCGAAATGAGAAACCATCACTGAATAGGATCCTGGGTTAGTAAAACTTACCTGAAACCACAGTTCGTTGTTCTGGGCATTACATGTCACAGGGGCCCAGTATCGAGTCATAGACCCCACCACCACCACCAAAAAAACCCAATGCAATGTTTGGAACTTGAGAAGGCCTTCAATTAAGGACGTCGCTCCAAATTACAACCTTCTATAACCAGACTCAAAGTCAAAAAAACCCAGATAGGAATGTATGGATGCTAGATTTCAAACCACGGTTTCAAAAAGCTACGTTTGTCGTGTTATATAGACTCCGGGATAAACCACAATAGCAAGTTTGCTAGGATATGCTAATAGATGGATTGTGTTCCGTTGCATGAAATGATGATGAAAAGAGGTTGAGATTTTGGAAAAAGTGCAGAGAAGAGCAACTAAGATGATTAAAGGCCTGGAGACTAAAGTATATGAAGGACGGTTGCAGGATTTGGCTTTGGCCAACCTGGAGAAAAGAAGGACTAGGGGGTGAGATGATAGCAGCCTTCCAAGGAAGAAGCGGGTCGGCTTATTCTCCAAAGCCCTTGAAGGCGGCAGGACAAGAAGCAACGGGTGGAAACTGACCAAGGAGAGAAGCAACCCAGAACTGAGGAGAAACTTCCTAACAGGGAGGACAATTGATCAGGGGAACAGAAGTCGCCTTCAGAAGTTCTGGGTGCTCCATCCTTGGAGGATTTTAAGAAGAGACTGGACAGTCGCTTGTCTGTTGGAGCAGGGGGCTGGACTAGAAGACCTCCAAGGTTTCTTCCAGCTTCTGATTCTGATTCTGATGAGAGTGGGGAAAGTCCAAGACTTATTATCTTCTGCCCTTGGAATGGGAAGACGCTTGGGAGAAGCAACTGAGATAAGACACCACTGCTCCATCTGTGCTGCACCAAGGCCCTCGCACGAGGGGACAATGCACAGATATCCCGCCTTCCTGAGATTAAGATATGCCAAGAAAGGAGTCTATCTGTAGCTCAGGGTTGAGGTGAAGGGTCCTTGGCGCTCTCTGAGCTTGGCCGTTTTCTTGGGAGGGATTTCACTCATGACGTTATCTAGCTTGGGCAATCGAATGCCTGCAAGAAAACAACCAAGTCAGGATATGTTCACGGCCAGAAGCCAGCGGTAGATGAACCACAACGCACTCAACCCTCCCCCCCAAGATGCTTTTTCCAAAAGACATATATAAATCCACTAAACTGTGTGAGGAGAAGAGATCAGCGAGTGTTTATATCTCACACTTAATCAGCGAGTGTCTATATACACATAAATACTCACTGATTAAGCCATAGTCTGTAGTTACACCGCACCCAGGACACCATGGGGAGCGCTGTAAACCACAGCTGAACTGTAATTCATGGTCACGGACTCAGAGATGCCTCCCATCCCAGCTTGTCAGTCCTAACTTGATGGGAAGCTTTCTTGCGATCAAACCTGAGTTATTTTGTAAGCCAGGCAGAGAAGAGTAACCGTGGCAACATAACTATTAATTCAGTTAGAAAACAAGAGTACAAAGAGTTCAGTTTGCGTGCATCTCCTAGAAAGTTGGGTTGTTTTTATTTATCAAGCCACTGCAACATTAATTTTGCTGTTATGCCCCATGAATTGTTTTGGCTACTTCCTAATAGGTGAAGGTTTAAGACAGTCATGAATGTTTAATTCAAAAGGGAAAAACCAACAACAACCAGCCAATTAAAAATCCTCGAAGAGAAGGCAGTTCAATAACTGGACATTAAATCTCTTACGCCAATTAGGATGATTACTTCTCGGCCCCTTCGTTCTGAATCATTGATTTTTCCCCCCAAAGGTTTTCTTTCTGCACTTTTGTCTTACAGGCATACGATACAAATCATAACGACTGGATTTTCCAGACAGGCCAAATCGCCGCATTTGCAGACAGGTCTAAAAGAAGCCCTAACCTCAGCGTCCCCCCCCCAACAGAGCCCAAACTTTGAAAGATTCCTGCAACTGGGATTACACAATGTAAGTTAATCGGGGGACAGCCGTGTGGTCATTTAGAATTTGAGGCCAACTCCTGCTCTGCCTGGGTGGAGGAGGAGGAGGAGGAGGAGGAGGAGGAAGAGGAAGACGACGGGCCCAAGGGAAAACAAAGGGAGACGAAAGCAGGATCTGAAATCCAAGCCAGAGTTTGCAGAACGACAGAAGAGGAGGCGACGGAAAGCCCCCCCCCCCGGAAGCAGGACTCCCAAGTCCTCCCAAGTCATTGGAGGGGAAGGGCGGAGAGAGCTCAGCGCGGCACCACGGACGATCCAGCTCTCCTACCGATCCACTTGCCACGAATTCGAGGCTGCGAGAAGCGTAGAATCAATGCGCAAGCCAGCACTTTGCCTAATCCGGGATCCTTCAAGGACAATAGCCCCGGGATCTCCAACCCTGGTGACTTTTCAGGCGTGTGGGCTCCAACTCCCAGAGTTCCCCCAGTCAGCCATGCGGGCTGAGGACCTCTGGGAGTTGAAGTCCCACAAATCTGGCTGCATAAACGAGGGCTCTCCAACCACGGACACTTTTCAGGCGTGTGGGCTTCAATTCCCAGAGTTCCCCCAGTCAGCCATGCGGGCTGAGGATTTCAGGGAGTGAGCTGGAAGTCCGCCAGCCTTAAAGCCGCCAAGCTTGGAAAGCCCTGCGGTAGCCTACGGCCTCCTCCACCTGGCCTGGTCAGCCCTTCTGGCAGGGGCATGAGGCGAGGTGTAGCCCAACACACCAGGCTAACGGCTTAGTGGGTGGGGAGGGAGCCCCCCAGCCTGAGCCCTGGCTCTCGATGACGAGGAAGCAGCAGTAGCGGCAGCAGCAACAGCAGCAGCAGCAGCAGCAGCAGCAGCAACAGCCTTGCGCCGTGTCTTGCCTTGCCTCCTGCAGAACTCGGCCCTGGGCAGGGCTTGTCTGGGCTATGGGCCTGCTTCTCTCCTGCTTCTTCCAGCTCTGGCCAGGCCTGTCTGGACCGCACCTCGGCCTTGGCACCTGGCAACCAGGAGCAGACCTCCGCTGAGGCCTGACGAGAAAGCAACAGGCTTTAATGGAAATCCACCGTTCCCCTTGAAACCAACAAAAGAGCAAAACAAGGAACAAGAAAACCAACCGCAATGTGGATGCAAACTGGACCGGCAAGGGAGGGAGACAAGGCAAACCAGACGGGGGTCTTTCATCGGCCTCTGGGTTCCTTTGCTGGGCCTGCAGGGGCCTGGGCTCCTCCTGGGAGCATGGCGCGAGAAAGGGAGCACTCACCAAGTCCGATTCATCGCCATCTTCCTCTTCTTCAACAGAGTCCCCAGAATCTTGTTCCTCCTCCGACTCTCCGTCCACCATCTGCGACGGACAAAGAGGAGTTCACGTGAGAACAGAGAAGGCAATAACTGCTGGTGAAAGGATGGAGCAAACCTTCCTTATGTAATTAATCAATCTCTTACGCTTTCACGTTTCTAACTTCTGTTTCTGCTAGTTAGCCATTGATAGAACAAATACCGTGTGAAAAAGTATTGAGTTCTCCTTAATTTTAAGTGTTAATCTATCCATTTCTGCACGTTCTAATATTTTTTTTATTACATTTTCAGATCTGTAGGCTGTGGAGTCCACTATCTTGGCCTGTATGTCTATGGAGATTCTCCATCATCCAGGTCATGGTTTCCCAGAAGGAGCTTTGCCAAAAAGCCAATCGGACTTTCCTTGGGTTTTATTCTTGAAAACGTTTCTTTTCTCATCCAGGAAGCTTCCTCAATTCTGAACCTATTGTGGCCCACCAGAGCCAGCAGAGCTGGCAGTAGATTCGGACAGTGGGGAGGTTGGGGAGGAACCTGGGCCAGTCCTGGAGTCTGGGGGAGGTTCTGGCGAGGGCTCTGCTTCGGAGGCAGAGATGGGGCCAGGGCCCTCCGACAGTTATCGGCTGCCTTCGGAGTCGGAGATCAGTGAGGCAGAAGAACAGCTGGAGCCTGTTCCCAATATGCCCATGCGCAGAGCCGCCAGGAGAAGGGAACAGCTAAGGAACAAGGCTCAACTCGGGAGTAAAGGCACAGGTGGACGGTGAATGGCCCCTCCCAGGGGGAATAAAGGGGAGTGAAAGGGGAGTGGGGTTTGCAGGAGACAATTAGTTCGATTCATTAGGGTGAAGATCTGTTCCTGACTTCTTGCCAAGTAATTGCTGCTACAGAGTGGCGTTTGGAAGATATCAGCCTGGCAGCTCTCCCAGTCTGATAAAGGTCTGGAGTTGTAAAATCTCTTGACAGGCTGTTTGCCAGGACTTTGCTGGAGAGGAATTCGCTGTAACCTAAATAAAAGGGGTTTTGTCGGTACGAGGAGTCGGCTTCATGCTTTTGGGAAACCTAGGTCAGAACCGAACCGAAGAAGCTTCTTGATGAGAAGCGCAATGCTTTCAAGAAGGAAAAAAAACACAAGGAAGTCCAGATGCACTTTTTTTGGGGGGGGGGGGGAAACTGCACTTTTGGGGCTATTACTACGTGACGAGGTGGAACCTGGTATCTCCCTAAATTAGGAAAGTTGAAAGGCCAAAGGGCCAGCTCCTGTCTGCATTCGCATAATGCCTCAGCTGGACTGGGGATGCTGGTTTCGAGAAGGTGTGCCACAAACTAAACCTTGGAGGGCACCCACAGCCACCATCCTCCCACGCAAGGGGCCACATTCACCAGAGGACCAAGAGAGATCACCTTTCTGGTATTGCTAAGGTCCGACGAGTCTCTTTCGTTAGCGGTTCTGTTCTCCTCCATGGGAAACGTGGCGACCTGGTCAGCTCCGCGTTCATCTTCTTCCTCCAGTTCATCGGAGTCGTCTTCTTCGGAATCAACCTCCAATCGCTCCCCGTTCATGTGGGGGCGGCCCTCGTCCTTCTCAGCCTGGAGATTCCCACACACCAGAGTCAACGGTGAGCCCAGAGCTCCCGGACATTCCCACGGCCCTTTATTTGGGACACTTTTGTGACGACATTAGGGTTACAAATTAGCCGCCTTCCAATATTTGAGGGGCTGCCCCGGGGAAGAGGAAGGGGGCCCAGCTATTCTCCAAGGCCCCCGAAGGCCAGACAAGGAACAATGGACAGAAGCCGAACAAGGAGAAAGATTCAACCTGGAAAACAGGAGAAGCTTTCTGACAGTGAGGACAATCAACCAAAGGGAACAGAAGTGGCCTTCGGAAGTGGTGGGAGCATCATCATCCCTGGAGGCTTCCGAGAAAAGGCTGGACTTCCCTCGGTCAGAAACGCTGTAGGGCAGTGATGGCAGACCTTTTCGGCTCCAAGGGCTCAAACTGGAACGCGGGATGTGCATATATGCACGATCCTGAGCACTGGAAACCCAAAGACCAGCTGGCAATGGTGCTCATGCCTGTTTTCAGGCCCATTTTCAGGCCGTTTTGGGCCCAAAAACCAGCCTGAAAACAGCCCCAAAAATATCCTGGAAAACGGCCTGAAAAATGGCCTGTCCGGGGCCCCGGAGACCGCAAAGAAGACGTGCGTGCCAGAAACCAGAAGAGCCCCTGGCAACGGATGTCGTGCCATAGGCTCGCCCTCATGGGGGTAGGGGCTGGACTGGATGACCTCCAAAGCCCCTTCCAACTCTTGTTATTCCGTTCGCTAAGCAGCCCCTCTAGTTCCAGGGTGTCTCCAGGGATTAGCTATGGCTCTCGACAGGCTCCAAGAGGTGGGCGTTTCCCAGGGGCACCTGAGAAGGCCAGGACGCCTCTTCTCAGGCTGAGCCCTCGCAAGACGGCTTGCTGGCTCAGGCTCCGGGTGTTCTGCCGGCCCAGCCCATGAGGGTCAGGGGGCCTTCGTGAACCAAGCCAGGGCTCAGCCGAGACGGAGAGCAGAGGTAGTCCCTGACTTCCAACAGTCCGTTTAATGGCCGTTTGAAGTTACCTCTCTCTCTCTCTCCGCAAATCAGGAAGAAAGGGGCGGCAGGGGAAGACAGACAAATCCCTCGGTCCTTTTTCTGAGCTTTATTGGATCGGCAGATCCCACGTCACGGCACCTGTTCATGCATCTGATCACCTTCTTCCCGCTTCTCACCTTGCCGCCTGGAGAGTGAGCGATGCTTTTGAACATCTCAATCACCGTCCTCTGCTTTAAAACTTTGGTCTTCTTCTTGGGAACCAGGCTATACGTTCCCATCCTTCGTTTCTTCTTCCGAGATACTGAAGTAGCTGCAGAGGAGGAGACAGAGAAAGGACCGTCAGGGAGGAGGAGGAGGAGGAGCAGGGAGAAGGCAGGAGGCAGCTTCTTTTCTTCCCTTCTCTCTTTTTCTTTCTCTCTCTCTCTGCTTCTCTCTCTTCCCTTTTCTTCTCTCTCTCTCTCTCTCTCGCTTTTCTGTCTCTTTCTCCTCTCTTTCTCGCTTCTGTCTTTCCTCTCTTTCTCTTGTCTCTCTCTCTTCTCTCTCATCTCTCTTTCCTCTCTCATCTCTGTTTCCTCTCTGTCTCTCTCCTTTCTGTCTCTCCCACACTTACACAGAGGGAAAGTGCCAAAGATCTAATACCAACTGCTCTCAGGATGACCACCCTCTGACTGGATCTGATAGAATCTGGGAGCCACTTCCTTCAGACACCTGACAGAACTTGGAAATGTGGGAGGATAAGGATCTGGAAGAACCCCAGGTCACCAGCTCTCCAAAACCCTTGAGCCTTCCTCCTTTTACCTGTCTGTGATTTTGAGGCGCCCACGTAGCTCTGATTCTGAGGTAGAGATGAGTGAAGGCCGGGGATGGAGGACAGTGAGGCGGGCTTTCCGAATTCCAGAACGGCTTTGCTGCCGTCTTCCTTAGGCGTCCGTGTTTCTTTGGGGTCTTTGTTGGTATGCTGGAAAACAGGAAGGGGGATTGTTATATATATATATATATATATATATATATTTTGGGGGGGGGGAATTAAAGAGTGGGAAACCTCACTTAAAAGGACGCAGGAGGAGGGAGGAAAATCCGTTCGGTGAAAGAATATTGGGTTAGGATAGAAGCAGATCCCAAATAGGAACTTCATATATAAATCGGCATATAAACCTAGGGGCTACTGCATTGCTTCCTCCCTTCCTTCCGTGGTGTTGCAGTGGCTAGAATGCAGGACTGCCGCTGGCTGTGCCAAGTGCCAGCAGTTCGATCCTTAACTCATCCTTCCGAGGAGGGTCAAATGAAGACCCAGGTTGCTGGGGGCAACTGGCTGACTCGGTCAGAGAGGGCCGTGAAGCAACGGGAAGGGCTGCCGCTATGGCTATATACATTACCAGGTGAGATGGAGACTTGGGCATGGTCTTCCGGGCTCGGTGCACCTTGATCCCGCCTGTTTTTTTAGCTTCCGGGTCCTTGCCGCCCCCGTCTCCAAACTTGGCCGGGAGAGAGCCCTGCGCTTGCATAAAGGGGCCCAAAGTTCTCCCCTTGCTCCCTCCGGCGGGAAGGGTCTTTGCGGCGTGTCCTGGCAGGGCAGCAAAGCCACTGTTCGAAGTCCTGACGGGCAGGTCCTGAGCCGCCTGCTTGGGCAAAATGTACCCATTGCTGCCCGTCACCGTGGTCTGGGTGAAGTCGTTGGCCTTGAGGTGGTTTGGCTTCCCGGCATCCCCATCTCGTTCAGAAAATCCGTTTTCTGCTATCCGGCTCAGCTTGGCCACCGAGTCCCCTTGGCTCAATTTTGCATTGTCCTGAGTGTTCTTGGCTACGCTGGGGTGGCTCTTGAATTCGCTGCACTCCAAGGGGCCATTGGTCTCGCCATCGGGAGCCATCTTGAGTTCCCCAACTTGCTTGTCTATGGCGCCATCGCCGGCGGCCATAGCATTAAATCCTAGAGAAAGAGAGAGGAAAATGAGGGGAAGCCAAGAGGAAAGAATTGCAGGTGTAGGCTCAAAAAATTAGGACCACCAGTTAAGTTGCAGCATAGATTTATTCAAGCCTATACCCAAGAATCTGGTCAAGTTCAACACTGAATTGGCTCCAGATAAGAGTCCATGAAACGGACTCTTGAGCGCTTGTGGGAATGCAACAATTCTAAGCTGATAACATGCTTAATTCCACTCTCCCAAGCTCTGCTTGCTCTTCTCCTACAGCACCTCATTGTAAGGGCAAGGATTCATAATGCCAGCTGGTATTATTAATGCAAATAGTTGACACTATAATAGTACAGAGTACTGTTTCATTGATGAAAGTCAACTCAGCTTTACATACAGCTCTAAGCCGTTGTTTGACGGTGTTATCCTGGTCTGATTCACACCTGTCCCAAAGTCCATGCTTTGAAAGACAAAATCTCTTTGGGGTTCCTGCATCTACAACCTGTAGCAAAAATCTACAGAGAATCATAGTAGCCCATGAATATTAAATGGGTTATGTTTTTAACACCACATATGGGATTGGAGAATTTACTCCTAAAAGAATTATATTCTCGTGTAGTTCTATGTGATGGACAGCAAAGACTGAATACAGAATAATCAAGAGTTGGAAGGGCCCTTGGAGGTCTTTTAGCCTAAGTCCCTGCTCTAGCCAGAAACCTATAATATTTCAGACAATTGTCCAAATTCCTCTTTAAAACTTCCACTGTTGGAGCACCCACAACTTCGGAGCGTTAATGCTCTCAGATCTAGAGCAAGAAGATTTTGCTGGATTTTGTCTAGGCCTGGATCCAAATCAGACGAAGACCAAGGAGAATGCTGGCATTTATCACCAACGGTAACTTTTAGAGATCTGCAAGAGAACACACCTCGGCTGTTGTAATCTTAAGAAAGGACTTTGATTATGCTTACCCTGATAACATTTTAACTGGAGATAAGAGAATCTGTGGCAGTCCAGTCATTGCTCTCCATATGCAAGAAAGGTAGAGGACAGTCTGGATTTAAAAGATGGACTCACCTTCTTCTTTATTGTTGGTGATGTCTTTCAACAGCTCTGTCTTCATACAGTTCTCTCGTCTGGTCTCTCCCTTACTCATCGGAGCTTGCTAAAGGGGAGAAGGAAGAAAAGGGTTAAGAAACAGGGAATATAAATAAACAAATAAGCAGTGTTTGGCTTTATGAAGAGGCAACACACACTGCTGAACAAGAAGCACTTTAATCTCTACAATTCACAAAGAAAGGAAGTGGACTGTCTAGACTCCAAAGATTAATTGGTTTGTAAAATTTACAGGCCGCCCATCTTCCCTCAAGGTAACTCTGGGTGTTACCTTCTTTCTCTGAACTCACCTTCTTCCTTCTGGGAATTCAACCCCACACCCCACACCCCACCCCAGGTCAATGTCCACTTTATGATTTAAACCAAGTCATTGGTCCATTTTACTCCACGGTATGGCGATTTTAGGAAAGGCAAATTGGTTAAATCCACTGGTGGTTGAAAGACGACTCAAAAACTCAACCCTGATCTCTACAGCATCTCACAAGCAATCAGCCGTGTTGGGTTGTCTTGCTTATTTGGGTTCTGAATGGTCCTTGGTGATTTGGGGGGCTTGGTTGTTTTCTTGTAGACATGTCAAGATGTTCATGAAACGTCTGCAAGCAAAGAGCCAAGTTCAGAGATCATCCCACAGTTCAACCCCAGCTACAAATAATTATACTCTATTCTTGGAATATTGAGTTGAAATTCTCTGGGTTTATTTGTTTTTTTTAAAGGTGGAAATAATTATGGGACTGTCATAGGAACAAGGATGATTCAGAAGTCCTAAAATCTGGAGCTGCTACTTAGCACATTTTTTTAGATCAATCTGCAGCATATAAGTCATATCTCATAGGATGGATTGTACGCAGCAACATAAATGTGTTTGCAAATCCATTTTTAAGAAACCCAGACAATATTTAGATGAGGGCGTGGGAGTAAAAAGATCCAACCCCGAATAAAGCATGACCATCATAAAGAAAGATTATGTCCTCTAAAAATCAGAGTTAAACTCATGGCTTCCAGCACCACTCAACACCAGCATTCCCAGAATATGTTTTGAGAATGCACAAAGAACAAATGTTTTTTTAGTTTAGTTTAGTTTAGTTTTTTAAAGCCTGGCCAGCCACATCATCAAAAATGATCCCATTTTGTCTCAGGGGCGATACGGTGTTTAAACAGAATACAATAGAATTCTTCATTGGCCAAGTGTGACTGGACACACGAGGAATTTTGTCTTGGTGCACATAAGTTCCATTAGCTAGAATAGGAATCCGGAGAAGGGAGCGGCAGCAGGACAGGCCTCAAAAAACCTTCCAAACCTCGTTGAAACCAAGCGACCTTCTCTCTGGAGTCAAGACCGAACCTGAGGAACGGGCAGGATTTTAAGCTTGTGAAGTGTCACATGTCTTATCTCCCCCCTTTGAAGATTCTTTTCACCGGTCCCTATTCTAACTTCCCTGTGTCCCTGGGCCTTCAAAAACCTTGGCTGAAGACTTCCTTAACTTACATCCCAGCAACCCCCGCAAAAAGGGTTTGGGGCAAGCATCCCATTACACACACAGACACACCAGCTCTTGTTCCTGTTCACTTCTGTAGTGCAAGGAAGACCCTCCCAAAGCCAAGCTTAGCCTGGGCTCAAGGCAAGGCTAAAGGGAACCATGCCAGACGGGCGTCTAACCCTTCGACAAAAGGGAGCCCAGCGTCCCTCGGGTTGGCGCTTGGGCCTCTTTTTGCTCTTAAGGAGCCTGGCCAACATCTGAAGCTCAACCTTTACAACCCCCCCCCTTTTTTTCTTCTTTTGCTTCCGTCCGTCTTGCCCCTTATGGCTCTCCACCAAAACACCGTGTTTTTCTTCCCTCTTTAGCTCTCTCAGCTGAGCCCCCAAACTCAACGGCCAGGGGTCGAAGTGCCCCCTCACCCCGTTGGCTCTTTGTCTCGCAAGGAGAAAAGACAGCCCACCTACCCACCCGCTGTTTTCGCCAAGTTTGGGGTTTTTTTTTTTAAAGCATTTCAGAAACAACGCAGGGAACAACCACCTGGCTTCAGCTCCCAAGGAAACCTTTCCCTCCTTTCTGGATCCAGCCCAAAATGGAAGGTTATGCACACCAAACCAGAACCATGAAGAGCTCAACCCAAGACTCCTGGAGTTCCCGGCCCCCCCGCACGGAAAACCAAATCAGAAGCAAATATTATTATTATTATTATTATTTTTCCCGCAATGGCCACCCCGCTCTTTCCCCAGCCTCAACGTGCCAGCAGTCCCCGCGATCCTAGCAGGACCTACACCCCCCGCCCTCCCCGCCCCACTTAAAGGCAAGACTTAAAACTTTCCTGGAGCTCAGGCCCCTCCATGCCCCAATCGCCCCGCTTCTGATTGGCAGAGAAACCCTACACCCAGCCCTCCCAAGCCAAGAGATGTCAGCTTAAGCAGCAGATCCAACAAAAGCCAACAGCCCAGCCGAGGTCCTTTCAGAATAAAAGCCTCGTTTTTTCCTTCAATTTCCTCCCCTTTTTCCTGCAGCTGCCTGTCTCCATTCTCCTGCCTATGGCGAGTGAGTGATTAATACCAACGTTTGGTCGCTAGAGGGTTTGTGGAAAGGTGGCGGATCCAAAGCTGCACCCGCCAGACAGATGAGAAGGGCTCCCAAGGCAGACAGTCTACGCTTCTTAAAGCCAACACTGAGGGGGGGGGGTGGAGGGGGGGCTCGGGTTGAGGGGGGGGGGGGGGGGGCAAAAAAATGGACTTGATGCTCAACTCTCCCCTGCGGTTTGGAAATGAGGAAATGGGGAAAGGACACGTTCTTCGGACCAAGGGGGCCTGGGCGCTCCACTCGCTTCCCAGCAAATCCTCAGTCCCACCAATCTTTGAAAGCCAAAGACGGTCAAGCAACATGGAAGCCACCAAGCCAGCCGACGGCATCACTGGACGGCACGCTCTGGCTTTGATCTTCTGGTCTTTCACGGGATGAGGACTTTGTAACGTCCAGTGAAGAAGACCCCTGATTCCAAATGGTCAGTGCTCTTGAAGAGGACGGCTACAAAGTCCACATTCTGCCCTGATGACCAACACCCTGAGATGGCAACCTTCCTAAAGTTCCCTTAAGTTTTGGGCAAGATTTGAATCAAGCGCTCCCCCACCTCCCCAAAAGGAAGAGGTCAACTTCTGACTGTGGAAAATGCTGGTTCTTCTGCAGCTAGAGCAGCCTCTACATACAGACCGAGGAGCAAGGAGGAATCTCAAGAGGCCCACAAAACTAGAGCTGACTAGAACCCCGAGAACCACTGGGTGCGTCTTCCTCTCCTTGGCCACGTTCCTTTTTCCCTGCAGCGCCATCTTCCCCTTTCAACCCTTCTGCCTTCCAGCGTCAGCGCCAAGGGAGTCCTCACCAGGTTCTCATCGCTAACCAGCCTGAGCCTTGCCAAAGCGATTGCTCGCCTACAGCCCTGGACTGCTGAAACAGGTGTGATGTGGTGATGCCAAGGGTGAGGCATGAAACAGGGACACCCAAATGGTGCAACTGAAGAACGGTTGCAGGACTTGGGTCTGTCCAGTCTAAGGAAAAGAAGGACCGGGGTGACATGATGGCAGCCTTCCAATATCTCAGGGCCTGCCACCAAGAAGGGGAGGGGGCCAAGCTATCCCCCAAAGCCCCGAAGGCAGGAGAACAGCAACGGATGGAAACCAACCAAGGAGAGAAGCAACCTAGAAGCAAGGAGAAATTTCTTAACAGTGAGAACAATTAACCAGTGGAACAAGAGGCCTCCAGGAGTGGTGAACGCTCCAGCGCTGGAGGTTTTTCTGAAGACATGGAACTGATAGAGGTTTTCTTTCCTGAGCAGGTGTGTGTGGATTAGAAGAGCTCACACGTCCCTTCCACCTTGGTCATTCTGTTAAAATACTACCTCCCAAACACCTGGACTCGAGAGAAAAGTTAGTTTGGAAAATGTGGGAGAATGGGACTACAGTGTCCTTATTCCACTCGACCCCAGGGGAAGTTGCAATCACCTTGTGCATCATCAACTGAAGGAGGCAACAAAGGGACAGAAAGTCATGGCTGACTGTTTCACTGTCCTCTGGGTAACCCTTTAAACCCGACACAATAGACCTTCCCACCTCTGATGGCCCATTCTTCCTACCCGCTTTGATCTCTAGTATTTGCTGCTGACTTCCCACCAAAAGAAACAAGAGGCGAAGGGAGAATCGAGACACAATAAGAATTGTTTTCAAAAGGGCCATTGCAACAACAATAAAAGAAAAGAAATCCCGAAAGCTTTGCACCCAACCAAAAACAAGTCAAAACACTTCCTTGCTTAGCCTGATAGGGGGAGAGAGAGAGAGAGAGAGAGGTAGGTAGGTAGGTAGGTAGGTAGGTAGATATAGATATAGATATATAGATATAGATATATAAATATATAGATATATAGATAGAGATATGTATTGCAAGATTGTTAGACGTTTCAGTCTTTTTATCACTCTGGGCAGCCACGTTGGGAAGGGGGCAACGCAAGAGTTTAAAACATCCTCCTAAGCATACTTACCTCAAAGTAAGCCTTAAAGTGAAATAAACGGGACTTACTTCAACGTAAACATGCTTAGGTAAACTAGCATCCTTCAATGCACCGGGTTCCCCGCCCCCTTGAAAGCAGGAAGCAGCCCATTTTTTAGCATTTCTGGTCCCCTAAGAAGATCTATAAGAGCAACAAGGAGAAAACATGGTTGAGGCCAAAGGGCTGGCCAGAGAGGGTGTGCAGACGTGCTTCCCTTCCACCCACCTCCCAAAAAAAATCACCTACTTTTAAGAAACTAAAGTCCCATCCTGTAGGCCTGCAGACAAACACACACACAAACCCCACAGAATCAGAGCCAAATCATCAGAACAGGACCCAGTTTCCTTCCTTCCCTCCTAGGCCTTCCTCCTGTCCAAAGCCAAGTCTTCAGAAGGAAAGTGGAAGAAACCAATGCAACAGAGAGAGACAGACAGACAGACAGACCAGAGAGAGAGAAAGAGAGAGAGAGAGATCTGCAGGAATGGGAGGAAACCTATTATCCCCTTGCCCAACTCAAGAACA